CATGATAAAAATCATGGGGAAGGCTACAGGCTTTTACATGATAAAAATAATGGGGATTTCACAGATTTTTTACGTTATGAAAATCATTGGGATTTTACAGATTTTTAAAAAATATATAAAAATATAAATATAAAAAATTATAAAAATCATGGGGAAGGCTACAGATCTTTACATGATAAAAAATAAGGGGAAGGCTACAGACTTTTACATTATAGAAATCATGGGGATTTTATAGATTTTTACATGATAAAAATCATGGGGATTTTACAGATTTTTAAAAAATATATAAAAATATAAAAATGTATGAAGCAGTACTACTACTAGAAAAAGAGACTTCACCCAAGGTTGAAAGTCCTCTGGGAGAGGCTTTGGGCAGCAGATTTCTGAGTTCATATGTTGAAATTTTTTCCCTGGAAATCTTCAGTAGTTTTCCTGACTACTGAAGCAGTACTAGTGCTAGAAAGCTTTCACCCAAGACTGAAAGTCCTGAGGGAGATGCTTTGAGCAGAGGAGAGGCTGAGGGAAAGGCCAGCACATGGGCACTGCAGAACCTGGAGGGTTCTGGCTCTGCAGAACCTGGAGGGTTCTGGTTTTCCCAACTTTCCATCCCCCAGGAATGCCAGTGGGACAGGAATGTGAGCCAGGAGAGCCCACTGCCCACTGCCCACCCCACCCCTGCCCAGCCCCTGGGGGTGTCTCATCTCTCTCTCTCTCCTCTCCAGAGTCCACCAACGTGGCTTTCAGCATCACCATGCTGCTGGCCAGCCTCAGCAGCTGCTGCAACCCCTGGATCTCCCTGTTCTTCAGCGGGCACCTCCTGCAGGGCTGCCGGGGCTGCCGGGGGCGCCCCCGGGCCGGGCTGCGCAGACCCAACTCCAGCGGGAGCCTGTGCAGCAGGAAAACCACGATCCTGAGCCGCAGCCACCAGGTGCCCCTGCACGGGGACAGCGCCACGGAGCTGTGCCCGCCCTGCGACGAGGCCGTGACAGAGTCGGGCACGCTCTAGGCTGTGACAGCGCCAGGTGTGTGACAGTGCCGGGTGTGACAGCGCCAGGTGTGTGACAGTGCCGAGTGTGACAGTGCCAGGTGTGTGACAGCACCAGGTGTGTGACAGTGCCAGCTGTGACACTGCCAGGTATGACAGCTCCAGGTGTGTGACACTGCCAGGTGTGACAGTGCCGGGTGTGTGACAGTGCCAGGTGTGTGACAGCGCCAGGTGTGTGACAGCGCCAGGTGTGTGACAGTGCCGGGTGTGACAGCAACGAGTGTGATACCGCCGGGTGTGACATCACCAGGTGTGACACTGCCAGGTGTGTGACACTGCCAGGTGTGTGACACTGCCAAGTGTGTGACAGCGCCAGGTGTGTGACACTGCCAGGTATGTGACACTGCCAAGTGTGTGACACTGCCAGCTGTGACAGCGCCAGGTGTGTGACAGCGCCAGGTGTGTGACACTGCCACATTTGTGACACTTCCACGTGTGTGACACTGCCACGTGTGTGACACTGCCAAGTGTGTGACACTGCCAGGGGTGACACCACCAAGTGTGTGACACCACCAAGTGTGACACTGCAAGGTGTGTGACACCGCCAGGTGTGTGACACTGCCAAGAGTGACACCACCAAGTGTGACAGCTCCAGGTGTGACACCACCAGGTGTGTGACACGGCCAAGTGGGACACCACCAGGTGTGACAGCGCCAAGTGTGTAGCACTGCCAAGTGTGACACTGCCAGGTGTGTAACACCACCAAGCGTGACAGTGCCATGTGTGACAGTGCCAGGTGTGCAGGTGTGACACCACCAAGTATGTGATACTGCCAGGTGTGACAACGCCAGGTGTGTGACACTGCCAGGTGTGACAGCGCCAGGTGTATAACACCACCAAGTGTGACACAGCCAGGTGTGACAGCGCCAGGTGTGTGACACTGCTAGGTGTGACAGCTCCAGGTGTGACACCGCCACTACTCACTCTCGCTGCAGAGCGCGTCTCTCCCCACCTGGTGGCACCGCGTTTTACAGAAATCGGAATGTTTCACCCAGAAAAGCGCCGCGTCCGCCGCGTCCTCGCTGCCGTGGGGATGGACAGAGCCCCTCCGGCCGCAGCATCCACCCGCAGCCGTGTTTAGGGAAACTTCTGGATGCTCTCCTGCGGGGAGGGATCCGGGAACCTCCGGGGAGGGATCCTGCATCCTTTGAGATCAGGGGATCCTGGAACCTCCGGGAAAGGATGCGGGATCAAGGGGGATCAAGGGATCCTGCACCCTTTGGGATCAGGGGAGGCTGCATCCTTCAGGAACAGGGGATCCTCATCCTTTGGGATTGGAGATCCTGCACCCTTCAGGAACAGGGGATCCTCATCCTTTGGGATCAGGAGAGGCTGTATCCTTCAGGAACAGGGGATGTTGCATCCTTTGGGAACAGGGGATCCTGCAACCTCTGGGAAGGGATCCTGGAACCTCCAGGGAGGGATCCTGGAACCTCTGAGGAGGGATCCTTTTATCCTTCAAGACCACGGGGTCCTGGAACCTCCAGGAAAAGATGCAGCATCAAGGGGGATCAAGGGATCCTGCATCCTTTGGAATCAGGGATTCCTGCAACCTCTGGGAAGGGATCATACATCCTTTGGCATCAGGGGATGCTGCATCCTTCAGAAACAGGGGATCCTGCAGCCTTTGGGATCGGGGATGCTGCAACATCTGGGGAGGGATCCTGCCATCTCCAGGAAAGGATGCGGTGTCAAGGAGGATCAAGGTATCCTGCACCCTTTGGGATCAAGAAATCCTGCAACCTCCGGAGAGGGATCCTGCAGCCTCTAGCAAGGGATCCTGCATCCTTTGGGATCATGGATCCTGCAACCTCTGGGGAGGGATCCTGCAACCTTTGGGGAGGGATCCTACATCCTTCGGGATCAGGGAATCCTGCATCCTTTGGGACTGGGGGAGGCTTCATCCTTCAGAAACAGGGGATCCTGCATCCTTTGGGATCAAGGGATCCTGCAACCTCTGGGGAGGGATCCTGCATCCTTTGAGAACGGGGGATCCTGCATCCTTTGGGATCAAGGGATCCTGCAACCTCTGGGGAGGGATTCTGCACCCTTCGGGAGGGGATCTGCATCCTTTGGACACAGGTGATGCTGCATCCTTTGGGATCAGGGGATCCTGCAATCTCTGGGAAGGGATCCTGCACCTTTCAGGAACAGGGGATGCTGCACCCTTTGGGATCAGGGGATGCTGCATCCACCAAATCCTTCTGGAGGGACAGGAGTTTTGTGTTCCCAGCTGCCAGCAGAGCAGCCGGAGCTCGGCAGGCGGCAACGCGGCTCCATCTGCTCCCGAGCCGCCGCCGCCTCCTCCTCCTCCTCCTCCCGCACCCGAGCAGACAGCGGGGACAGCGCTGTCCCCCCCGGGGCTGCACGGCTCCTGTGGCCTGGGAGTGCCCCCCTGCCGCCTGCCCCGGGCCAGGACGGGGCTGTGGCATCCCCTGGTGCCGGGCACAGCTGCGCTGCCCCACGCTGTGCCCGCTGGAGCGCCCCAAATGCGGCGCTGGCACCCCCGAGGAGCTGCTGGGAGCAGCCCTGGCCCTGCTCCAGCTCAGCCGGGCACGTCCTGACTGCCCTGTGCCCGCTCCCATCAGCTCTGCTCCCACCCCATCCTGCGCTCAGCAGCTGCTCTCACCCTGCTGCTGCTGCTGCTGCTTTTGGCTCATTTTGCAGGGATTGGGAGCCCAAACCCACCCAGGGCTTGGGGAGCAGGAACTCAATTCCCCTGCAGTCCCAGGGGCTGTTTTGTGCAGGAATAAATCATAGATAAGGCAGAAAATAACATCCATTAGCTCAAAAGCTGCTGAGGGTGGTGTACAGGTGTCCCAGCAAAGGTCTCAAATTCTCTGCGAGCCACAGGCATTATTCCTTCCACTGTCACAAGCTAAAGCTGTAAAAATAAAGCATTAAGAGGAAAATATTTTGAAATCTTCAATATTTTCACTTTTTAATCGCCAGGCATTTGAATCAGATTTCTCAGAAGCTTCCTCTCACTGGTTTTGGCCTCACCTCCAGTCCCATAATCACACCTCTCCTGGGTTTTCCAACGTTACCCAGGAATTGTTGGGGTTTTTGGAACATTTTCCTTCACGTGCCCTTCAAGCTGGGCCAGATCTGCACCACAAGGTCATGAAAGGAGGAGTGCCTGGCTCCCCCTGCCGCTGATCAATCCCAAATCAATTGTCTCACAACCTTTCATTAAATCACAGCATTACTGAGCCCATTTAAAACACACTTGGGGCAGCTGCAGCCCTGAGGAAGGGGAGGCAGCAGCTCCATCCCCCTCACACGGCTCCCACTGGGGCACCATTCCCATTCCCAGGCACTTTGGAAGTTTATTTGTGGAAAATTCAGCGGTAACAAAATGCAGAGTGAGGAGCAGGGACGTGGCCCATGTGGGGAGAGACCAAGCCCAGCACGTGGAGCTGGGACAAAGCAGGGAAAGCAAAAGCTGGGAGGGAAAGGGAGAGGGAAAAACCGGTGGAAATATTGTACTTAAAAGGATTTTATGAGGCTGATGAGCAAAACAACAACACTGAGAGGAGCTCAGTGCAGCTTTGAGGATCTCCCTCCCAATTTGAGAGGCAAGGGGGGGATGTTTCTTTTGCTTTCATGAAATGAGGGGACAAAAGGCCATGACACAGAAGTGGAGAGCTGATTCCAGTCTGGCTGGGAGGAGCCTTTCCCTGCCCCACACTGTCCCTCAGGAACAGTGGAGCCTTTAAGGAAAAGCCAAGGAAGCTGCGGGTGGGGGTGGCACAAGTGCTGCAGCCCGTGCCAGGCAGTGCCCCAGGGCAAGGGGACAGTGCCAGGGCAAGGGGACAGTGCCAGCTGTGCAGCTGCTGGGGGCTCTGGGCACCTCTGGGCAGCAGCTTCACCCTGGTGTGACAGCTTCACAGCAGTGTCACAGCCCCACATGAGTGTCACAGCCTCACATGAGTGTCACAGCTCCACAGCAGTGTCACAGCTTCACCTCGGTGTACTCCACCCCCTTGGATGCCCTGGGGCTGGAGAAGGGCCAGAAATGTGTTTTCCTCTTCTTTGGGTCCACGTTGACATAATCCAGCCCAGACTTGACGTTCTCATAGTCCTGGGCAGAGCCCGGCTCGGGGCCTTTCCCTGGGAACACCAGGGATGTGTAATTGATGCTTTCCTCTGGGCCACGGCCCTGCAGGAGCAAAATGGAGCCCAGGTCAGGCCCAGCACCCACCCAGGAGCCTTTGCCCTCAAGCCCATGCACCAGTTCAGGGAATCATGGAATGGGCTGGGTTGGAAGGGATTTTAAAGCCCATCCCATTCCCTCTGCCATGGCAGGGACACCTTCCACTGCCCCAGGCTGCTCCAAGCCCCATCCAGCCTGGCCTTGGGGCTCCAGGGGCAGCCACAGCTGTGCCAGGGCCTGCCCACCCTCAGAGAGAAGATTTTGTTTCCTAATTTTCCTAAAGTGCCCAGGGATGCTTCCCTCTGGAATGCTGCGTGTGACAGGGGACAGCAACCACCCCAGCCCTTATCTATGGAATTTCAATGTGCCCAGCCCTTATCTATGGAATTTCAATGTGGTTTGATGGATTTGCCCCTCCCGATGCTGCCCCAGGTGGGCTGGGGATGATTTTCCTGTGGTACCTGAGGGCAGGAAGGGCTGTCGTTGTCTGAGTCCTCTGAGGTGTCTGAGGATGTGTCACTGCTCCCTAAAAAACACAAAACATTTACCACCCCAGCACTTCCCAGAGGGTTAATGGGAAAAAAGGATCAAGGGACAAGAAGCAAACATGCTCAGAAGTGAAAATTCTGATCCACCAAGGATCAGTTTGATCGCTCCCAGCCTCACTTCCCTGGGAGAAAAGGGCAAGGAGAGCCAGGTGGGAACAGGAGGCAGCTCCTGCTTGGCCCTTCTCCCACCCCAGAGCTCGTAAGGAGGAGACATCACACAAATACCACCCAAAAACTCCCATCCCTGTGCCAGGACAATGCCCCGTGGCTGCAGAGCCCCTTACCTGCATAGGCTGGCGATGGGTTTTGTGCCCCAGGTTGTTGTTTTTGTGCCCCAGGTTGTTTCTGTGCCGTGTCCCCTCCCGGTGCTGAGGCTGGAGCTGGGGTGGGCTGAGGGCTGGGATGCTCCCCAGGGCTGCTGCTCACCTGCATCCTGCAGGAATGCTGGGCTGTGAGCAAGAAAACAGTGAGCCCTGGTCCCTGCTGTGCCCAGAGCACCCCACCCTGCTCCGGCACCCCCAGTGCAAACCAGCCCACCCCAAAATAATGATTGGAGCAGGCTCATATCTAAAAATTCAATTACTGAGATGATCCAGCCCACCAGGAGAGGCTCCAGTGACAAATCACAGCGTCAGGGCCTTTTCTGGCAAGTTTGGAATGATTCTGACCCAAAGCAGAGCTGGGCTCTGTGCAAATGTGAGCAGCAGTTGGTGGGAAAGAATTCCCTGCTAGAAATTGCAGCTTCATTTGAATTAATACTCTGTGAGATGATTCTTGGTATTTTCCCAGCACTTTACTAAAAAAGTGACTAAGAAAATTGGTTTTGAAGCAACACAAGGTTGTAGAACCCTCACTGATGTGTCCAACCATGTTCCTGCTGTGCCCAGCACACCACCCTGGTTCAGCATGCCCAGTTCAAACCAGCCCACCCCAAAATAATGATTGGAGCAGGCTCATATCCAAAAATTCAATTACTGAGATGATCCAGGGCCCTGCTCTCCCACCAGGAGAGGCTCCAGTGACAAATCACAGCGTCAGGGCCTTTTCTGGCAAGTTTGGAATGATTCTGACCCAAAGCAGAGCTGGGCTCTGTGCAAATGTGAGCAGCAGTTGGTGGGAAAGAATTCCCTGCTAGGAAATTGCAGCTTCATCTGAATTAATACTCTGTGAGCTGATTCTTGGTGTTTTCCCAGCACTTTACTAAAAAAGTGACCCAAAAAAAATTGGTTTTGAAGCAACACGAGGTTGTAGAACCCTCACTGATGTGTACAACCATGTCACCCAGCCCAGCCCAGCCCTGCCCTGCCCCTTTCCCATCCCACACCCACCTCAAACCAAGAAAAGCATTTTTAAATTACCAATTTTCCTGCTGAGCATGGTGTAAAGGGCCAGCAGGAGGACAGGGTAGAGTATCAAGGTGACAAGTGAGGTGACAGCAGGAATCCAGCTGAACGAGAGAAAACCATTCAGTCTCACTGAAATCACCAAATTCTTTTCAACCCCCCCCATGGCTTCAAGGCACATTTTAGACTCAGGGCTGCTGGTAACTTTTGGTTTTGCTTTTTCGTTTTGCTTTTTGGTTTTACTTTTTGATTTTGGGGTGATGTGGCTCAAAATGAGGGGCTTGGTTTTCAAAAATGATTTGAGTTCCTTGCCCCTCGTTTTTGGGGCTGTCCCCAGAAGGGTTTTCAAAATCCTCCAGGGGGTCAATGTGGTGCTGGAGGGGAGAGAGACATGGCAGATATGATGGAATTACAGAATTGTGGAATGATGGAATGGGCTGGGACCTTTGAAGGTCACCCCCTGCCATGAGCAGGGACATTTTCAGCCAGGCCAGGCTGCTGTGTGTGACAGGGGACAACAACCACCCCAGCCCTTATCTACGGAATTTCAACGTGGTTTGATGGATTTGCCCCTCCTGATGCTGCTCCAGGTGGTCCCAGTGGGGCTGTGGAGGGCTCTGTGCCCCAGGGTGCTGCACTCACCATGCACAAAGGCTCATCCTCCTGCTGAGGCGTCTCCAGGGCCTGGGGGCACACAGACAGCCAGCAGGACCTGGTGGCAACCATAAAAATGGCCCCAATGAGCCTCACGCTGCTCCACACGAGCTGGAGATCAGGCTCAGCACTTGGAGGCAGTGGTTGGGTGTTGCAGATGTGAAATAAAGGGGTTTTTATTTCATCCCAGCCCTCCCCCTGAGAGAATCCCTGTGGTTCACACCCTCACAGAGCCACAGGCTGTCCCTTATCACTGAATTGATGGCTTTATGCACGCTCATATCTGAGACTTGTCTGGACTTTCTGGGCCCCACTGCAACAGAATTGAAATTTGTTCTTCTCGCTTTAATCCTCTCTCATGGTTCATTTTTTGTTTTTCTTTTTCTCTTTTTAATCCACCAAAAAAAATTTAAAAAAAGGAAGAAAACTACAAGATGAAGAAAAAAAAAATCCATGGAAAAAGTAACCAGAGGAAGGTCGTGTGTTGGTGTGAGACTCTTGCATCAGTCAAGGTCCAGACAGAAATATCAGAGGCCCTGCAACACCTCAGTGTCTGAAACACCTCGGATTTAATTCTGTGAGAGCTCCAATCCTGCTGAGGTTAAGAGGGTTTAAGGCAGAAAATCAGAAAACACCAATGCCTGGGCTGGGCCCCTTGACTTGGGACTTCTGGCCATAACACTCAACAGATTTATAATAAAAGATAGGAGTGTTCATTTTGTAAAAATAGCAGTGGGCTGCTCCTTTTGTGAGCTTTCACTTGCAAAAAAGCACTTTAAATCCTGTCTCAGTGTTATACACTTGCTATTTATAAATGGCTGATAGGGAGAGATCTTCAGCTGAGGCTTTGATACAGTGATTAAAGCAGCCATGATAATTTGATTGATAGGCTGATGGATAAATTGATAGAGCAAAGGCATTATCCATCCTGTGGAGCAGATTCTATCATTTCCTCTATGACACATTTCTGAGCCTAATTCATCAAAAGCTTTCCTGATAACCACCAATCTCCTGCAAAATTCCACTCATGCAAACAGCTTGATGACTGCCAAGCTGAAAGTTCATTTTTTTGCAGAAATTTCCCCCCTCCCTTACTGAATAAATCTGTCCCCAAATATCCTTCTCAAAGTGCTGCCACTCTTGAAAGGTTCATTTCCTACTGTGGGGCAGGAGACGCTGCTGCAGCAGCAGATAAGGATCTGAAAAATGAGCTGTTCAAAAGGAAATTGCAAAATAAGCCCCAAATCCAACTATCAGCAGCTTCTGTGCCGAGGTGGGTACGGCGAGATGGAGGCGCCGATATCGGGTGGGTATCAAATAATCAGATTTGAGGCAGCAGCCAGTGAGAGCCCGGCACCAAATGTGCTTTTTTGGGGGCCTCAGGGAAGTTCTGTGAGCCTGCAGCCTCCAAGACTTCAACCCTTTCTCAAGAAAATGCTGAAATCAAGGCTTGCAGGGAGCTGCTCCTCAGCCGGGCAGCGAGGGCCAACCTGAGGCATCTGCACTCAGCTAAACGCGAGTGAAAGCTCCAGAATGCCCCAAATTATTTTAATCCCACTCCAGCCAGGCCCAGCTGGCTCACTGGAGCTCAGAATGGCACCAAAATCTGCCCAAGGGGGACTCCCAGCCCAGCTCTGCTCCCGCTGTTCCACCCTCTGCTTCCCGCACCATCGCACCCGGAGCGCGGCGCCCAATGCGGCCTTACCTGGGCTCAGAGCTTTCCAACCTTCCCTTCCTCACACTTGGAGCAGCTGGGGCCCTGCAGGCAGCAGGATTTGGGTGGTTTCAGCAGGATTTGGGGGTGTTTCAGCAGGATTTGGGGTGGCTTCAGCAGGATTTGGGGCTGTTTCAGCAGGATTTGGGTGCAGAGCAGGGTCTGGCAGCGTGGCGGCGCCGGATGCGGTCACGCTCTACCCCCCCAGGAGTGGAGCCCACGCGAGTTCCATGACACCTCCCCTCTGTCAGTAGCCTCATTTAAATATATTGGGGTGTTTCTCTGCTGTTCTGCAGCTGCTTTGCTGCTGCACCCCTCCATCAGTTCTCTGTCTTCCAGCAGCTTTGTCCCAAAATTGAGCTGAGTTTCCTTGGAGCCAAGTGGTGATGAGGGAGCTGTGCCCAGCTCAGCTCAGCTGCCACCCAAAATGAGCTCTGGCTGCTTCCAAGCAAACATTTTCCACAGGGACGAAGCATTTTCAACCCCCTGGCTCCATGGCTGCTGGGGGTGGCTGGGCCTCCACCTATCCACACTCTGGAAAACGCTCTGCAAGCTTTGGGGTGCAAGCAGCAGCCTGGCAGATCCCACCCTGAGAATTCCCAGGAATTTTGGGGATCGATGGCTGCTGGTTCATAGGAACTGTGGGGTTTGTAGCTCTGGAGGTGCCTTGGCAGAAAGGAACAAGAAATTCCCTTTTTTGGGACAGCACTCTGGAAAATGTTCTGCAAGATTTGGGGTGCAAGCAGCAGCCTGGCAGATCCCACCCTGAGAATTCCCAGGAATTTTGGGGATTGATTACTGCTGGTTCTTAGGAACTGTGGGATTTGTAGATCTGGAAGTGCCCTGGCAGAAAGGAACAAGAAATTCCCTTTTTTCCAAGGTGCCTGACTCATGGGGACGGTGCCTGCTTGCCTTTCAGCATCTCCACCAGCCCACAGCAATCCTGCCCCAGGGATACAACATCCCAAAGAATCCTCCTGGATTATCTAAAAGCAAAAAGAAGATTTCAAAAAGCATCACCTACCCCTGGAGCTGCATCACAAGTTGGGGTCACTTCCCAAATTCCCCTTCATGCCCCCACCATCCACCAGCTGCATCACCAGATGTTGGTCCTGCTCTCCTCACAGCTGCTGCACCCCAGGTAAATATTTTGGGGTTCATTTAACTGAAAGTTGCTTGTTTGTTGATTTTTTTCAGGTGAAAGTTTGCTGCTGCAGCGCTTTCAAGTGCTTGGTGGTGGATAAACAGATTAACAGGTGGGAGAAGTGTCTGATAAAGGCAGGAAAAAAAAGGTTTTTGACAAAACACTGCTGGGGCACAGTGTGAATCAACCAGGGCAGTGGCTCCACTAAAGGAAATGTGTAAGAAGGAACACAGATAACACATTTTTAGCCTGAGAACAGGTTTTTTTAAACAAAGTGCTTCACACAGAGCTGGTGAGAGGTATTTTTCTACCCAAGGGGCAAAACTTATTTCTGATCCATCTGTGTGGCCCTGGAGGGGTGGGACAGAGCTGGGGACAAGCCCTGCCTGGCAGAGCCCATTCCTTTCTTACCAGGGATGTTGCAGGAGTTGGAGTCGCCTTTCCTCAATTTCTCCAGAGCAGGCTGGCCCTGCCAAGCTGAGGGACACCAAGGCTTGGAAATTGGGCATCTCCCCCCTCTGCAATCCACACATTGAACTACAGCTGGAATTTGTATGAAACAAAGCCTTCTCGACCCAATTTTCCGTGCAAATCCAACCCAGTTGCTCCCAAAACATAGAGGGGAAAAAATCCCCCACCACTTTGTTCTGCTTGAAATAATTATGAAGTGCTCCTAAGAGTTGAGCTTTTAAAATGGCTTCTAAAATAACTCAAAAGTCGAAATAGATTTGCTTAGCTGCAAAAATTTCTAAATGAAAGCTCTGGCCTCGTTATGACTTTCATCTTCCCATTTTAATGCTGAATTTGCTGCCAGGAGTTTGCAGATTATGATGATCCAATTGGGGGATCTTTTCCACAAAATAAACTATTTCACTTAAAGTGTTTGGCGTGTCTGTGCTGCTGCTCACCCTCAGGTTTATCTCCAAAGCCCAGTGACCCTTCAGGCTGGGTTTTCTGATAGGATTTTCGGGTTATAAACCATGTCTGGAACAATCCACTTGCTGTTTTCAGCTTATCTGGCACTTGCTGCAGCTGCTTTTGTTTTAGGAAGTTTCTTTCTAATCCATGAATATGTGATTAGGACAAGGAGGGAGGCTGGTACATTAAACTGCATCTCAAAAGGGGAAATAGAGAATAAATTTGTATAAAAGCCACTTGTTAAAAAAAAATATTGCAGAGTGGGGGAATGAAGGGAATTTTCATTTGTTTTGAAGAAACAGCTGCATTTGCCATCGGCATCAACTGTGCTGTGCCCAACGTTTTCCTGCTCATATTGAGAAATATTTGATGGATTTTTTTAAAGCTTAATCTGCCCTCAAAGCTGGGGAGAGGAGAGGCCTGGCAGCATCTCCAGGGATGGGGACACAAGATCCCGGTGACAGCAGGACGTGACTCAGCTGTCCCCAGCCACCCTGGATACCTGTGCCTCACAGATGAGGACTTTAATTTCCTGGGCGAGGGCTTTAATTAGATAAAAATTTAATTAGATAAAACAGGGCTCGCTGGGACAAACAAAAAATTGATTAGCACGGTGCTAAAGCCTGTTAATCACGTGAATGGGGCTCGCTGAGCAGAACACCCCCTTCAGCACCCAAAACCGTGGAAAATAAGGACAGCGTGCAAAATAAGGGCCTGGGAGATGGTGGCAGCAGGAAAATCCGTGCCTGCCCCCACTTGCCTCCCTCCATGTCTGAAGGCTTTATTTGTTCATCAGCATTTTCTGTTTGCACTCGCTGAGGCTTTAATGAGAGCCGGGTAAAACAAAACCCACAGAGGACGAGCCCATTAACGCCTGCAGAGCACCAGGAGCTGTTTCCCATGGAAAGCTGCTCCTTCCCGGCCTTTGGAAGGGAAAGTTGAGGATTCCCGAACTGTTCATCACTGCTAATTAGGTTTGCCTTTTAAAATTAGGTCGGTGGTACAAACACAGCCCTTTCCTGCACCTCCGTGCAGCTGTTGGGGTTTGGGGCACCCCACGGCCATGGGCAGCTCCTTGGGGTGGGGCTGTGGGGTGAAGGAGAAGGGAAATGCTCCTCCAAAGCATTTTGGGGGGTTTCCACCAGTGGGTAAGGAGCTGGTGCAGGGATGGGGACCCCATTCTGCTCCCTCTGTGGGATCTCCACTGCCCCAAACTCAGCCAAACCCGCCCCTGCTCTGCTCCCACAGGCCCCCCAGCGCCGTCCTCACCCAGAAAAGCAAACGTGACCCCGGAGTGCCCGCTCAGCCTCGCCTGGGCCGTGGCCAGTGATTCATTGTGGGTGCCCGAGCCCGGTGTTGACTCTGGCAGGGCTCTTATCGAGCTTGGCACCGTGGGTATAAGAGCGGCACGGCGGCGGGCACAGCCACCATCCCCGCCATGAGGCGCCTGCTGCTCCTCACCGCGCTCTGCCTGGCCCTGGCCAGCGCCCTGAGGAGGTAAGGGGGTCCCCAAGGTCCCCAGGGTCCCCAGGGTCTGGGTGGGGGTCACTGCCAGGGCTGTGATGGGTGGCAGAGCTCAGCCTGTACCCGAGCGGTGGCACCACGCTGGGATTTGTGGGTGCTCCGTCCCTCTGGGCAGAGCCTGGCAGCAGCAGGAGGGGCTGTGAAGGGGTTTGTGCCAGCAGGAGGGCAGAGAAAAGCAGCCTGGATTGCCCTTGGCCCTGCTCGCCCTGCCCTGCCCCTAGGGCCTTCCCCTCGGTGGCACTGCCAGGAACTGGATGCTCTCCTGCCAGCTCCTGATTTCCTGTGCCCTAAAACACGTCCAGTGCCTCTCTTCTGCTGTGCCTCAGCTGGAAATTGCTGCAGGGCGGGGATGTGGGCTCTGAACCTCCATCCTGGCAGTGCCAGAGCCCTCAGGGTGGGCTCAGGATGTGGGCAGCACCCATGGGAGTGCCCAGAACCATCAGGGTGGGCACAGGATGTGAACAGCACTTCCATGAGTGAACAGGGCCCTCAGGGTGGGCGCAGGTTCTGGGCAGCAGCTCCATGAGTGCCCAGGACCCTCAGGGTGGGCAGAGGATATGGGCAGCACCCACAGGAGGGTCCAGGATCGTCAGAGTGGGCATAGGACATGGGGAAGCACTCACAGCAGTGCCCAGGACCCTCAGGGTGGGCACAGCACCCATGGCAGTGACCAGTGCCCTCAGGGTGGGCACAGTACCCTCAGGGTAGCGCCCAGCACCCTCAGGGTGAGCACAGCACCCACAGCAATGCCCAGCACCCTCAGGGCAGGCACAGCATTCACAGGGAGGGCACAGCATCCACAGGGTGGGCACAGCACCCAGGGCAGTGCCCAGGACCTTCAGGGTGGGCATAGCACCCTCAGAGTGGGCACAGCACCCTCAGGGCAGCGCCCATCACCCTCAAGATGGGCACGGCAACCATGACAGTGACCAGCACCCTCAGGGTGGGCACAGCACCCTCAGGGCAGGCACAGCACCCTCAGGGTGGGTACAGCACCCTCAAGGTGGCTACAACATCCAGGGCAGTGACTGGGCTCTCAGGGTGGGCACAGCACCCATGGCAATGCCCAGGGCCCTCGGGGCAGGCACAGCACCCTCAGGGTGGGCATGGCACCCTCAGGGCAGTGCCCATTACCCTCAGGGCGGGCACATCACCCTCAGGGCGAGCACAGCATTCATAGGGAGGGCACAGCACCCTCAGGGTGGGCACGGCACCCTCAGGGTGGGCACCCAGGGCACTGACCGGGCCCTTCCCGCAGGGTGCCCCTCAGCCGGCGCCGCTCGCTGCGGAAGCTGCTGCGGGAGCGGGGGCAGCTCTCGCACCTCTGGAGGGCCCGGGACGCGCCGAGCAGCGAGGACTGCGCCGCCTTCTCGGAGACCAACGAGCCCCTCATCAACTACCTGGACGTGAGCAGGGCTGGGAGCACCCTCAGTTTGCCCGAGCAGTGCCCACAAACCCCGCGGCTCCAGGCAGTGCCCGGCGTGCCAGGGCTCGCTGCCTGCCCGGCCCTTTGTCCCCGCGGATGTCAGCAGGAGGACAAGGGAGGGCATTCATGGCAGGCACTGCCAGCTTCTTCCCTCCCTGCTGCGCTCTGCCCGCCCCACTGGGGACAGATTTACACCAAAATTCAAGTTATTCAGGGCAAGAGCCCCCCACAGATGTGCAGGGAGCTCCCCAGGACAATCCCATTCCCCAATTCCCCTGTCCCCAAAGCCCTGCCTGGTGGCAGGGTCCCCTCAGAGCCCAGCAATGCCAGGAAGAGGCAGAGCCCTGTCCCCAACATGCTGCCTTTTGTCCTCAGTCCCCATTCCCCAATTTCCCATCCCCAGAGCCCTGCCTGGTGGTGAGGGTCCCCTCAGGGCCCACCCTTAAGAGGTAGAGTCCTGTACCCAACACGCCTTTTGTCCTCAGTTCCCATTCCTCAATTCCCCCTGTCTCCAAAGCCCTGCCTGGTCATGAGGGTCCCCTCAGGGCCCAGCCTTAAGAAGCAGAGACCTGTCCCCAACATGCTGCCTTTTGTCCTCAATCCCCATTGCTGTTCCTTAAATATTTGTCTCCTTTATTCCACCTGGCACGGCACACATCAAACACTGAGCCCCATCCATGCCCTGCAGACACCCCAGGCTCTGTTTCGCTGGCATTTCTGGCTGTGCTGGCAGCTCACGGTGCTCTCTGCCCCCTCTCTTTGGCAGATGGAGTATTTTGGGCAGATCTCCATCGGGACACCCCCCCAGAATTTCACCGTGGTGTTCGACACGGGCTCCTCCAACCTCTGGGTGCCTTCTGTCTACTGTGTCAGCAAAGCCTGTGGTGAGTGGGGAGCCCCTGACCCCAGAGAGGCCATGGGGACCCTCCTAACAGTGACAGAAATCCAGGGGTGAAAGGGGGTGACAGCTCAACAGGGGACAAATGTGGCTTTTTGGGGCTGTCAGAGATCAGCAAGCCCCAGAGAGCCCAGAGGGACCAAAGCATCCCCAAGCAGCCCCAGGGCTGCCCCAGAGCCCAGTGGGAATTGGGGAATGTGAGTGGACCCTGCAGGGAATTGGGGAATGGGATTGGATCCTACAGGGAGTTGGAGAATGGGACTGGATCCCACAGGGAATTGGGGAATGGGACTGGATCCCACAGGGAATTGGGGAATGGGACTGGATCCCAGGGGGAACTGGGGACTGGATCCCACAGGGATTTGGGGAATGGGACTGGATCCTGCAGGGAATTAGGGAATGGGACTGGATCCTGCAGTGCCATGGGGCTGCTGCTGGCTGTAACCAGGGACAGCAGTGCTCATCTCAGGACTCATTAAAAGCTGCTGATCCTGCTCTCCCTAAGAGCCCTTCCACCCTCCATCAGACTGACATGGGAGAGGTTTTCTCCCCCCTCAAAACTCCAGCACATCCCTCAGCAGAGCCCCCATAACCAGGAGTTTTGGTGACACCACACTGCGCCATCATTTCGCCTCACTGGGAGCTCCTGGCAGCGGTGGCCATGCCAAAAAAAAAAGCCATTTCTGGTGACAGATCCCATCTCCTTCCCCAGCTGGGCACACCAAGTTCCAACCAACCCAGTCCAGCACCTACCAGGTGATCGGGACCCCCTTCTCCATCCAGTACGGCACCGGGAGCCTGACGGGGATCATCGGGTCTGACCAAGTGGCCGTGAGTGACCTTTGGGTTTTCCTGCTCTGGACAATTTCCTGGGACTCGGCCCCCCCATGGAACCCCCTCCTCCCTGCAGGTCGAGGGTCTGGCCGTGAGCAACCAGCAGTTTGCAGAGAGCATCAGTGAGCCGGGAAAAGCCTTCCTGGATGCTGAGTTCGATGGGATCCTGGGGCTGGCTTATCCCTCCCTGGCCGTGGACGGGGTCACCCCTGTCTTCGACAACATGATGGCCCAAAATCTGGTGGAGCTGCCCCTTTTCTCCGTCTACATGAGCTCGTACGGATGTGGATTTGCTCTGGGATGCTGCTTGGAGTCTGGCATTGCTTTAGGGAGCTAAAATACAGATCACGAAGGGTGGTTGGTACCAGATTGAGCATTGCAGAGCTCTGGCCTTGCAGCATGTGTGGGGAGAAAGTTGGGGTAAATTCATGCTAAATGGACAAAATTCCCTCATGTCTCCTTCTCCTCCCAAAATTTGGTGGAGCTGCCCCTTTTCTCTGTCTACATGAGCTCGTACAGACGTAGCTTTGCTCTGGTATGTTGCTTGGAGTCTGACATTGCTTTAGGAGCAGGAGAGGCTGCTAAAATACAAATATTTTACTGAGATAATGAAGAAGGGTTTGGTACCAGACTGATCATTGCAGACCTCTGGCCTTACAGCATGTGTGGGGAGAAATTTGGGGTAAATTCATGCTAAATGGACAAAATTCCCTCATTCTCCTCCTCCTCCTGCCAAAATTTGGTGGAGCTGCCCATTTTCTCCATCTACATGAGCTTGTACAGATATAGCTTTGCTCTGGGATGCTGCTTGGAGCCTGACATTGCTTTAGGGAGCAGGAGGGGCTGCTATAATACAGATACTTCACTGAGATAATGAAGGGGGTTTGGTACCAGATTGAACATCACAGACTTCTGGCCTTGCAGCATTTATGGGGAGAAAGTTGGGGTAAATTCATGCTAAATGGACAAAAATCCCTCATGTCTCCTCCTCCCTGCAGGAACCCTGAGTCCCCCCAGGGAGGAGAGGTGCTCTTTGGGGGCTATGACACCTCCCGCTTCACAGGCACCCTGAACTGGGTGCCAGTCACCCAGCAGGGCTACTGGCAGATCCAGCTGGACAAGTGAGTGCTGCTGGGCAGGGAGGGAGGGCAGGGCAGGGCAGGGCTGGCAGAGCATGGCAAATCCCTCCTGCTCCTTCTCTTGCAGCATCCAGCTGGGTGGGACAGAGACCTTCTGTGCCAACGGCTGCCAGGCCATCGTGGACACCGGGACGTCGCTCATCGTGGGTCCCACCAAGGAGATCAAAAAACTGCAAAACCTCATTGGGGCTGTGTCTGTGGATGGAGAGGTGAGAGCCAGGGTGGGGACAGGAGGGGACAAAGCCCTGGGGGCCCTTCCCTGCTGGAAGGGACCCCCTGGGCAGCCCCTGAGCCCCCGGCTCTGTTCCAGTACGCCATAGAGTGCAGCAACCTCAGCGTGATGCCCGACCTGACCTTCACCATCAACGGGCTGCCCTACACGCTCAGCGCCCAGGCTTACACCCTCGTGGTATGGCTGTGCCTCCCCCAACCCCAAATCCCAGCTGCTCCAGTGGCAAATGGGGCCCAGCCCCATGCCAGGAGCTGGCAGTGTGTCCCCAAGGGTGACAAACCCTGCTGGTTTCTGCCTTGCCATCATTCCTGGGTGTTTCCATGTGCATGAGGCTCTCAGCTTCATCCCCAGCTTTCCACTTCTCCAGGAGGATGCTGATGGCATGACCTTCTGCACCAGTGGCTTCCAGGGCAGCGACATCCCCCCTCCCACAGGACCCCTCTGGATTTTGGGAGATGTTTTCATCCGTCAGTTCTACTCCGTCTTCGACCGGGGGAATAACATGGTGGGCTTGGCCCCTGCTGTCCCTTAGGGCTGTGAATTCGTGGGGCAGGAGAGGAATGGACCCTGGCAGGGCAGTGGATGTCACCCTGTCCTCCTCAGTGTCCCCAGGGGGATGAAGACATCCCCAGGGATGCAGTGAAGAGTGCAGCAGAGGTTCAGTCCACACCAGGACACTGTGATATAAAAATGTCTCGGGCAGCTCTGTGATCTGCTCTGCACATTTTCTCTTTTTAAATCCTGAGCCAATAAAAATGTCAATAAACCCAAACTCCTCATGCTTCTGTCAGCAGCAGCCCTGCAGAAATCCTGCACATGTCAAAGCTTTATGCTGGGGGTTAAATCCTCCTTGCCCACGCCCTGCTCTCCTCCCTGGGTGATCCATGGCACTGGGATTTCCACAGGGGCAGAAAGAAGGGGATGCTTTGCCCAGGTAGAGCAGAAATTCCTGGAGGTGGCTGTGGCCATCCCAGGAGCAGGGCAGGGGCACAGGGAACACTGGGAATGCACCTTTCCTCAGCTGGGGCTGGTAAACAAAAAGGAAACAAGGAGAGTGGAAAGACCCTGGGGCTCTTTCTGTGCCACCAAACTCCCGGAGGCACCGGTGATTTCCATTTGATTCCTTCGGGGAACTCACAGCAAACTGTGCTTGGTGGGCCCTTGAGGCAAAAAGGGCAAAGCAGCTGCTGAGGGCTGGCAAAGCAAAAAGGGCTGGCTCAAAGTGTGGGGGGCTGTGGGGGGCTGCTGGCCATGGGGGTCCCCAGGAGTCCCCGTGGCACACGTGACAGAGTGTGACAGTGCACGAGTGGCAGTGGCTCACGAGTGATGCGCCCTGAGGCAGCGAGAAAGGGAAGCACAGAAAGGTTATTTTTATCCAGGCCTTTGCTCTGGTTTCCCCTGAAGTGAGGCCAGCAGTGCCAGGGCTGGGCTGCTGGAGTGTCCATGTCCCAGCCCAGCTTGGTGGCTGCTCCATCCCTCCCAGAGCAGAACAGCTTCAGGGCTGGTCTGGGAGCTCTGGAACACTCAGATCTGGTTGTAAACTTTGCGGCTGAGCTTATGGTTTGCAATAAAGGGAGATATCTGCCTTACCCAGAGGCACTGATTGTGCCACTGACCAGCGTGGGCTCTGTGACGTTTCCCGTGTTGACTTTACCCCTGCTGCAGTCCCAGATAAGGTGCTGGGGCTGCTGGACAAAGTTCTCCTGTCCCTCTTCCACCTTAACCCTTAGCACGCCAACATGCTGCTGAGCACGAGCCCGGGGGCTGGGGGGAGCATCCAGCTCCCCCAGCATGGCAGGGGCCACCCAGTGTCCCCAAAGAGCAGCTGGCAGTGAGGGCTGGTCTGGTCTGGAGTCACCCAGGACTGCTCTGGTGCTTTGCTTTTGGGATCTCAGGGCATTCTGTGCTCTCTTGACAGGTTTGGGGGGGAAGCTGCTCAAACAAATACGAGCATCCCAATAAAGAGTGACCCCGCTGTCCCCCAGGGAGGCTGAGCAGTGCAGGGAACGCTTGGATGCCCTTTGCTTCCTTCCCTTTCCCTCACTCCCAGGGCCCTGCAGGGCACAGGCCATCCTCTCCTTGTCCCCGTCAGCCTGTCCCCCGGCTGTGCCAGCCCCAGCCTGGGTTTCATCACTTTCCTCACAGTCACAGGCCACAAACCCCACGCCTTTTCCTCAGAACCGCTGACGCGGGGGAGCAGCCAGGACAGAACTGAAGCTGCGGTCACTGGAGCTGCAGAGCGACGCCTTGGCCGCCACCTCCTCCCCACCACTGCTCCCACTGCCTTCAGCCAGGCAGAACCTCAGCCTAGGGGGGATTAGGAGAGCAGGAGCTTTGGGAGAATCCCTTTTCCTGTGAAATCAAACAAAAGGCAGAGATAAGGCTGATGCACCCTGGTGGGTACAGCCACCCTGGCCAAAAGCAGAAGTGGCCGTGGGCATCAGCTGCAGTTTGGGATTGACCACAAACCCCAGCCCCAGCAGCCTGGAGAGGCTTTGATTATCTGATGGGGTGAGCAATCCCCCATCCCACCAGGGACACATGAGAGAGGAACGAGGGCAGAAGTTGTTGTGGGGAGAGGTTGAACAAGAAATTCTCTGTGCAGGAGCAAAGGTGAAGCAGGATGGTGAAAAGGGGCTGAAAATGGGGATTAGGAGAGAGCTGCTCCAGGGAAATGTCAGCCTTTTACCCACCACTGGTGAGAACTGGCTTGGGTTCTCCTGCCTCAGCCCAGCTCCTCCCAGCGCCTGCCCTCTGGGGGGAAAAACAGATTTTTCTGGCCAGACAGGTCCCAAAATTACACCTGGAAAAGAGGGGGAGGAAGGTTTGTCCTGCTGGGTGCAGTGATCCTCCCTGAGATCCCATCAGGGTCTGCAAGGGGGGAAAAAAATCTACAAAAATGCTGGAAGTGAAAAAGCAAAGGGCAGTGGTCTTGGAGGGATCCCAAAACCTGGGGGCTGCTGGTTCAGGATGAGGGAGGGTTCACAGATGGGGGACACCCCGCTCCCACTGCAAAGCCCAAATCCTACAGAATGCTTGGCAAAGGCACAGAACCTGCCCTGGCACGCTGGGGAGCAGAGCTCTGCCTTTGCAGCCGTGGCCAAGCAGGTTCTCCCACTCCAGAGAGCCCTGGGCACCCGCCTGGTGCTGGGATTGCTCCAGCTGAGATCCCCAAAATCCCACTTACTGATTGAACACATCCTCCTGCAGACCTCACCAGCTCTGTCCCCTGTTTTGGGGGTGTTTCTGGGGTGTTCTGTGGATGCTGGGTGGGCTGGGGGCTGCAGGGATGTGACATGAGGGGCTGGAAATGCTCGTGATCCCCACTCTGCCCCTTTCCTGTCTGGAAAAGGATTCACAAAGAGCTCAGAGGCATCACAGCCGCTCCTGACCCATGCATATCTCCCAAATCCGTTTATCCCGTCCCACGATATCAGAGCAAAGCCCGCCATGGCTCCAGGGATGCTGCCACAGCCCCGCCCGGCTTTTGTCCTCACCACTCAACAGTGCCCCAGCGGGAATTGTTGAGATAAAGGGTCAGAAAACCTTTTTAAAGGGCGGTGGCAGAAAGAAACCGAGGGGATTCTGAGCCAGAGGAGAAGACAAAAGTCCGTCCCAAACTCCAGAACCGTGCTCTCCTTCCCCATCGGAGCCCAAGCCGGGGACACCGGGCAGACACCGGGAAATCCATGGACATCGCAGCGCCCGCCCGCGGCTCCTCCGGCATCTCGGCCCCTTTGTGCTGATGTCACGGAGCGGGGCCCCGGAGCCGCCTTCCCCGGGAGGGCCGGGATCGGCCGCCCCTTCCCGGATCCTCCTCTCTCGCCTCTCCCATCCCCTGCCCGCGCCGGCTGCAGCGGAGCCGGGAGCTGCCCCTGCCCGGCAGGTGAGTGCTCCGCAGGTGAGTCCCGGGGGCCGCGCAGAGCCGCGGAGCTGCAGCGAGGGGAAGGAACTCCATTTTGAGTTTAGAAACATCTGGAGTCCCCAAAAGCTGGCGGAAGCAGCGGGAAGTTTGTGTGTGGCTGTGCCTGTGCCCGGGATGATGCCCGCGGCTGGGCACGGCGGGCAGAGGGGGCAGGGGGGAGCCTGATTTCAGAGCTGGTTTTCAGAGCTGGGACTTCCCCGCTGGTGTGCAAAGGGGGAATGGCGCAGGGCTGGCCAGCGCATCAGGGAAAAATGCAGCGATGAGGCTGCCAGCGTTTCCATCCGTGCCGTGGGGATGGGGCTGCTGCGGCTGCTGGGGGATGCTGGTGCCACCTGAGGGGGTTTCAGGGGTCCTGGACAGGTTCAGAGCATTTGAGGACACTGGGACATCATGGGGACACATCCTGGGGGGACCGCCTGGGCGGGGATGCTCTCTGGGCTGTGCTTGGGACACCAAGGAATTCCTTCTGGCTGGGGTCTTCTTTAATAAATTCAATTTTCAGCAGGACCCCAGGCGTGCGTGCCAGGCCCGGGGGGAGGGACCGCGCTGGAGAGGGGGTGGGAGAAGCAGGGAAGTGGCTCCGGGCAGCTTTGAATGGTGATGAAGCGGCGAGTCCGGGCGTGCTGCGGGCGGGGACGGGGCCGGGCTTGGCATGGGAGGGTTTTTCTGTGCTGGCATGGCACGAGCATGATGCTGGCACGGTGAGGGCACAGCCACCCCCGGGACAGCACCCCAAAGCTCACCCAGGTGCCATCCCCACAGCCCCCTGTGCCCCTCTCGCCCCCAGCGCCTGTCCATGGATGCCAGCAAGAAGGTGGATCTGAAAATCATCATCATCGGAGCTCTGGGGTAAGGAGCTGGCGAGGGAGGGAAGCCCCCTGAGTGTGCTGGGTGCCCCCTGAGCTGGGCAAAGCCTCACCATGCCCCTTTGCTCGCCCCCAGCGTGGGCAAGACCTCCCTGCTGCACCAGTACGTGCACAAGACGTTCTACGAGGATTACCGCACCACGCTGGGCGCCAGCATCCTCACCAAGGTCCTGCCCGTGGACAGCACCCCCCTGAAGCTGCAGGTGAGCGGGGTGAGCTGGCACTGCCCGCTGTGCCCACCCTGATCCCAGCTGTGTGTCCCAGCCTGGACTGCTGGGCCCAAGCGCCACCACGGTCTTGAGGTGCAGAGCCCGATTTTCAGAGGTGATTTTTAGAGCTGATTTTCAAAGCCTGATCTTTAGAGCCCTATTTTCAGAGCCCAGTTTTCAGAGCCTGATTTTCAAAGCCCAGTTTTCAGAACCCAAATTTTAGAGCTGATATTCAGAGCTAATTTTCAGAGCCTGATTTTCAGAGCCCCATTTTTGGAGCCTGATTTTCAGCACTGATTTTCAGTGCTGATTTTCAGAGCCCAAATTTCAGAGCCTGATTTTTAGAGCCTGATTTTCAAAGCCCCATTTTTGGAGCCTGATCTTTAGAGCCTGATTTTCAGAGCCAAATTTTCAGAGCCTGATTTTCAGAGCCTGATCTTCAAGCTGATTATCAGAGCTTGATTTTCAGAGCTGATTTTCAGAGCCCGATTTTTGGAGTCTGATTTTCAGTGCTGATTTTCAGAGCCCAAATTTCAGAGCCGATTTTCAGAGCCTGATTTTTAGAGCCTGATTTTCAAAGCCCCATTTTTGGAGCCTGATCTCTAGAGCCTGATTTTCAGAGCCTGATTTTCAGAGCTGATTTTCAGAGCCTGATTTCCAGAGCCTTGGTTCTAGAGCTTGATTTTCAGAGCCCAATTTTCAGAGCCTGATTTCCAGACCCTGATTTTCAGAGCTGATTTTCAAGCTGATTTTCAGAGCCTGATTTTAATAGCCTGATTTTCAGAGCCCAGTTTTCAGAGCTGATTTTTCAGAGCTCCATTTTCAGAGCTGATTTTCAGAGCCTGATTTTTAGAGCCTGATTTTCAAAGCCAAATTTTCAGAGGTGATTTTCAGAGCCTTATTTTCAGTGCTGATTTTCAGAGCCCCATTTTTGGAGCCTGATTTTTCAGAGCTGATTTTCAGAGCCCGGTTTTCAGAGCTCAATTTTCAGAGCCTCATTTTCAGAGCTAATCTTTGGCTCTGAAAGATTTTCAAAGCCAAATTTTCAGACCCCAAATTTCAGAGCTGATTTTCGGTGCCTGATTTTCAGCATCCATGACCTGCACTGGAATCCCACAGGAACTCTGGGGGCTCAGCACCCCCTGAAGCTGCTCCTGTGGGCTGCAGCACCCACCCTGCCCCTGTCACGTCCCCTCCTCTGCCCTAGATCTGGGACACGGGGGGACAGGAGCGGTTCCGGTCCATGGTGTCGACCTTCTACAAAGGCTCGGACGGCTGCATGCTGGCCTTTGATGTGACAGACAGGGAGTCCTTTGAGGCCCTGGACAACTGGAGAGATGATTTCCTGGAGAAGGTCATCCCCAGGGAGCAGGATTTCCCCATGGTGGTGCTGGGGAACAAGATAGACCTCAGTGACCGGCAGGTAAGGGTGGAGCAGGGACAGCAGGATCAGCAGTGCTGGGGTCACCACCCCTGCAGGGATTTAAAACTTGGACAGCTGTACGCTTGGGGACACGGTTTAGTGCTGGACTTGGTGATCTTAAGGGTGTTTCCCAACCTAAACAATTCCATGATTGGGATGCTGTAGGGTGTTAATGGTTCTGAGGGCTGATCCTTCACCAGCCCTTCCCTGTCCTCACACAAACCAGAGCTCCAGGCAAGGAGCTGCCACCTCCCCCAGCGCTCTGGGAGGGGATGAGCCACCCTCCTGCTGCCCTTTGGGGCACAGACTGTCCCCAGCAGGGGCAGCAGGAGTGACAACCTCGGGCACTGCCAGCACCCCCTCACCCAGCAGTGCCTGGAGGGGTGAGGAGGGTCCTGAGTCCCCTCCCTGAGCTGTGGCTCAGCCAGGAGTGTTTGGATGGGTGAGGAGGGTCCCATCCCTGAGCTGTGGCTCCATCCTCCCATCCCAGCAATGACTGGATGGGTGAGGAAGGTCCCCTGTCCCCTCCCTGAGCTGTGGCTCAGCCAGGAGTGTTTGGATGGGTGAGGAGGGTCCCCTGTCCCATATCTGAACTGTGGCTCCATCCTCCCATCCCTGCAGTGCCTGAAAGGGTGAGGATGGTCCCCTGTCCCCTGTCCCATCCCTGAGCTGTGGCTCCATCCTCCCATCCCTGCAGTGCCTGAAAGGGTGAGGATGGTCCCCTGTTCCCTGTCCCATCCCTGAGCTGTGGCTCAGCCAGCAGTGCCCTGATGGGTGAGGAGGGTCCCCCTGTCCCCTGTCCCATCCCTGAGCTGTGGCTCCATCCTCCCATCCCTGCAGTGCCTGAAAGGGTGAGGATGGTCCCCTGTCCCCTGTCCCATCCCTGAGCTGTGGCTCCATCCTCCCATCCCTGCAGTGCCTGGATGGGTGAGGAGGGTCCCCTGTCCCCTTCCTGAGCTGTGGCTCACCCAGCAGTACGTGGATGGTTGAGGAAGGTCCCCTGTCCCCTCTCTGAGCTGTGGCTCCATCCTGCCATCACCACATGGGTGAGGAGAGTCCCCTGTCCCCTCCCTGATCTGTGCTCACCCAGCAGTGCCTGGATGGGTGAGAAGGGTCCCATCTCGGATCTGAGGCTCAGCCAGCAGTGCCTGGATGGGAGAGGAGGGTCCCCTGTCCCCTCCCTGAGCTGTGGCTCCATCCTCCCATCCCACCAGAGTTTGAGGAGAGTCCCCTGTCCCACCCCTGATCTGTGCTCACCCAGCAGTGCCTGGATGGGTGGGGAGGGTCCCCTGTCCCCTCCCTGAGCTGTGGCTCCATCCTCCCACCCCTCAGGTGCCCAAGGAAACAGCCTCAGCCTGGTGCAAGGAGAAGGACATCCCCTATTTCGAGGTCAGTGCCAAGAACAACATCAACGTGGCCGAGGCTTTCGAGACGCTGGCCAAGCAGGCGCTGAGCACGGTGAGCACCCCGCAGCTCCGAGCTGTGCTGGGGGGAATTTGGGGTAAATCCGGGATTAATCTGACACATCCTCCCGTGTGGAACAGCTCCTGCTGCAAGGGAGAGCCCCGGGAATAGAAACGCAGTGTTTGACCCTAAATCAATAGGAGCAGGAATTGCCGTGTGCTTTCCTGCAGTGATGGGAACCCACAGCGCGCCAGCACTGTCCTCTAGCGGCCGTGCCACGGTGACATCGGCGTCCCCAAGCCCTGCTCCAGGTGGCTTTTGCTGCGTTTTGCCGGTAGCCACAAGCTCAGGGCTGAACCGCGGGGCTGGCTCGGGGCTGCGCTCGCTCATCCTCTCCCTTCTCCGCTTCTTTTCCAGTATAAAGGGATTTTGGAGAGTTATTTGACCGACTCCATCAAGCTCACTCCCAACGACAAGCCCAAGCAGAGATGCTGCTGACCCCACGGTGGAGCCCTGCCCGGAGTGAGTGCCCGCTGCCCACCCCAGCTGCCCACGGGGACCGGCAGTGCCAGGGCTGGGCACACCAGGGCCGTGCCAGGGCTGGGCACACCAGGGCACACCAGGGCCGTGCCAGGCTGGGCACACGAGGGCCGTGCCGGGGCTGGGCACACCACGAGCTGCCAGCTCATCCCACAATTTGCTGCTTGCCACGGCTCTGGAGCTGCTCTCCATCACCTCAGTGTCACGGTGGTGGCCCTGTCCCCATCCCCTCGATGTCCCTGCAGCGACGGTGCCAGGGGTGCTCCCAATGCCCCTCAGACACCTTGGCACCATGGATGACCCTTCTCCGGGCACAGCCTGGTGGCCCCGCGGCTCCCAGGGTGGTACAGGCTGCCCTGAGGGGACACCTGGGGCTGGTGGCCCCTGCACAGGGACCTGCCACTGTGGAGGCAATTACTCCGTGCCTCAGTTTCCCCTCCTCCCGTGCATATCCCCCATCAAACACCTTCCCCCTCCCGCCTCACTGGGGAGGATTCTCAAAAAAGCACTTTGTAAGGGGTACTCTTTTTTGTTTTTTTAAAGGAAATTAAATATTTCATTTTTATTTAAATTTATGTGTTGTAAAATGCTCCCCAGGTCCCACAGCAGGAAGGTGGGGTGGGGGCTCCAGACTTCCCTCCCTGAGCCTGTTCAGCTTCTCAAGGCTGGAGGGCACATTTTGGGTCTGGGGTTTTATATATTTTATTTTATTTTATTTTATTTCATTTCATTTCATTTTATTTTATTCTTTATTTTTATTTTATTTTATTTTTTTGTTTTGTTTTATTTTGTTTTGTTATTTTTTAATTTTTATTCAATATTTTATATTTATTTTTATATTATATTTTTATTATCTATTTTTAATATTTTATTTTTATATTTTAGCTTCTATTTTGTTTTATTTTATTTTAATTTATTTTATTTTACATTTTATTTTTTCACTATATATATAATATTTCACTATATCTTGTTTTATTTTATTTTATTTTATATTTTATATATTTTAATTTTAAATTTTATTTTGTTTTATTTTAAATTTTTTTATTTATGGTTTTTTGTTTTATTTTTTATTTTATTTTATTTTATTTTATTTTATTTTATTTTCATTTTCCAGTGTAAATTTTGGGTCAGGGGAGGAGGAGGTGCGAGGTGGGTGTGCAGATTTGGCCTGGCAGGGCAGCTGTCGGCAGAGGGAGCCCGCTGGGAGCAGATCCCGGCTCCCGCTTCCCTCCTGCACCATCCCGGGCACCTTCCCGCCCATGTCCCCGCTCCTCTGGGGCTGCAGCGTCCCCCTGGCCGGGCTGGACGGGCTCAGCTCCCCAGGGAGGCCACCAGGGACCTCCTGCCCTCTGCCACCCCCCCAGACCCCCCAGTGACTGCAGGGGGGACACAGAGCGTCCTGGAGGCTGCCCTGGCACCGCCCGGGCTGCCCATGGGGACAGGGCAGGGCAGCGGGGCTCAGGATGGGTGAAACCTGAGCGAGGGATGGGCACGGGGGGCGTGGGGGCTGCAGAGATGCGGCTGGAGATGGGGCTGGGGCTGGAGATGGGGATGGGGATGGAGATGGAGATGGGGATGGAGATGGAGATGGGGATGGGGATGGAGATGGAGATGGGGCTGGGGCTGGAAATGGGGCTGGAGATGGGGCTGGGGATGGAGATGGGGATGGGGATGGAGATGGGGATGGGGATGGAGATGGGGATGGAGACGGGGATGGAGATGGGGATGGAGATGGGGCTGGGTCTGGAGATGGGGATGGAGATGGGGATGGGGATGGAGATGGAGATGGGGATGGAGATGGGGCTGGGGCTGGAGATGGGGATGGGGATGGAGATGGGGATGGGGATGGAAATGGGGATGGAGATGGGGCTGGGGCTGGAGATGGGGCTGGGGATGGAGATGGGGATGGGGATGGAGATGGGGATGGGGATGGAGATGGAGATGGGGATGGAGATGGGGATGGGGATGGAGATGAGACTGGGGCTGGAAATGGGGCTGGAGATGGGGCTGGGGCTGGAGATGGGGATGGAGATGGGGATGGGGATGGAGATGGAGATGGGGCTGGGGCTGGAGATGGGGCTGGAGATGGGGCTGGGGATGGAGATGGGGCTGGGGATGGAGATGGGGATGGGGATGGGACTGGGGCTGGGGATGGAGATGGGGCTGGGGATGGAGATGGGGCTGAAGATGGGGAAATTTTCAGAGCCTGATTTCCAAGCTGATTTTCAGAGCCCAAATTTCAGAGGCGATTTTCAGAGCCTGATTTTCAGAGCCGGGGCTGGGGCTGTGGCTGCGGCTGTGTCTGGAGCACCCGTCCGGAGAGAACGGACAGTTCAGTTCCCACCCTCGGCCAGTTCCCACCCTCCTTACGCAACGCTCCGCCTGTTGATTTGGGCACCGGGCCGGGGAGAGGATTTGTCCCTTCCTATTGCGAGGAGAGGGGTATTAACTATTTCCTCCCCGCGTCCTGGACGCCCTTTCCCCACCCCGCGCCCGCCCGGAGCCCCCCTCACACCCAGCACCCCCAGCCCATCCTGGCACCCTCGGGGCTGTTGGCACAGGGGTGTTGGGCGCTGCCCGTGCCAGCAGCGAGGTTGTTTCTCATCACACCCTTCTCCCAGCAGCTCCCAGCGCTGGCAAACAAAAACCTGATCTGTTTTAGCAGTTTGGACACCACGGGCTGAGCAGGTCACACAGATGCCCTCAGGGGAGATGGAGCTCCCTGAGTGGGGCTGGGCACCTCTGGCACTGCCCAGGGCTGCTGTGGGGGCTGGAACCTGTGAGTGGCAGGAGCTGGGGCCAGGTGGGAGCTGCAGGCTTGGCTCAGGGTCCCGGTGGATGCTCTGGGCAGGGCAGGCAGGGCTGGGGTCAGACCTTGAGCTGCAGGCAAGCTCTGAGCTGCTGGGTGTGACGGTGCTCACAGGGGTCTTTGGGTGAGGGAAGAGACAAGGATTTCACTCTATATTTCAGAAGGCTATATTTTACTCTATATTTCATTTTATGATGTATATTACATTGAAACTACACTAAAATAATAGAAGAATTTCATCCCAGAAGGTTAGCTAAGAATAGAATAGCAAAGAAAGAGTGATAACAAAAGGCAGCTGTCTCGGACTCTGTCCGAGCTGACTCTGTCCGAGCCAGCTGGGCCTTGATTGGCTATTAATTATAAACATCTAGGATGGGCTAATCAAAAATCTACTTGATGCATTCCACAGCAGCAGACAATCATTGATTGCATTTTGGCCTTGAGGCCTCTCAGCTTCTCAGGAAGAAAAAAATCTTAAAAGAAAAATTTTACATGAAAAGATGTCTGCGGCAGCTGGGCTCAAACTGAGCAGGGCCCCAGCACTTTGTGCATCATTCCAGGCATGGGAATCAGGGCTGTGAAGGGGAATCAGGGCTGTGAAGGGGAATCAGGGCTCTGGAGGATGCTGCAGCCTCAGGGTCTCCAGTGGCATCACCACCGTGCAGAAATCCTGGCCAGCACACCTCACAGATGTGAAAAACGCCAATCACTTGTTTTTTAAAATTTTAAAAGTTTAATAGCAATAAAATGGTTATAAAAATAGTAATACGATTAGAGTAATAATAATTCGGACAATTTGGATTAGGACAATATGAGACAATAAAAACAAAGAGTTATGGAGGTCTGGGTACCTTTTCTGGGCAGCACAAGCCCCAAAAAGGCCCCACATTAACAGAGGATTAACCCTTAAAAGCAACAGCCTGTTGCATATTCATACACCTCACACATGATGCATAAATTCCATTCAAACACAGGATTCTGTCTGGGCAGTGTCAGCTTCTTCCTCTGAATCCTGACAGCACCTTCGAGGTGGGAAGAAGTTCATTTATTCTGATAAAGGAGCAATAAATTCTCTTTCTCTGAAAGATTCAGGTGTCCTGTGGCTGCTATCTCACTGCCAGTCCTTTCTTTAAAAAAGTCTCCTACATAGCACAGTTTGTATTTTAACACTTTTTATAACCTACAACCATATTTAACACACTGCTTAAGAGAATTAACACAGCATCACTTTCTAACACAACACATACAATATTCATTTGAATATTTGCAAAAAGCCAATCGTAAAACACATGCATTTTCCACAACAGATGTGCAGCACCCCGCTGGAGCCAGCTACAGCCCTGCAGCTCTTTCTATTCCCTCCACCCCTGTGGGCAGGGTGGCCAGGCAGCCCTGGCACGGCCAGGAGAGCGGGCAGGGTGGCACGGTGCCAGGCAGGATGCTGGCAGGAGCCGCCAGAGGTGCTAAGCTGGTAACACTATCCCGAAACCCGATAAAGGACAGGGGGAGGTTCGCAACACGTGGGATTAACAAGGTCAGCTCGAGATTTTTCTCAGGGTGAAAATCAAAGGGGAAAATATTTGCCTTGTGTGACTCAGTGAGTTCCTGAGCAGCCACCTGAGTTCCTGAGCTCACCCCGGCCTGTGGCCACTGCTGAGGAGCCAGACTGAGCCCTCCCGCTCAGTTTAATAACCAGAGACTCCCCAGCTGCTCTGCTGTCCCTTCATTCACCCATTGAAACGGCAAAAATCACCAAAATCCCCCCCTGATGCTGGTCACCAAACAGCGACCATCCCAACCCTCTTGCAGAAGATCTGCCCTCAGTATTTGAGGAATTAGCACCTCAAACTCACCCTAAATCCCCAACTCCGAGTTTGCTTTGTTGTTCTGAGGTTCAGTTACCCCTGAGAGATTTTCCCCACCCCTCATCCCACCTGCCCTGAAAGCCCAGCCTGTGCTCTGTGCTGCCTTGGGATCCTTGCCCTGCTGGGCCCCAGCTGGTTCCAGGGGTGGCAGCAGGGCTGGAGAGGGTGAATTGCATCCCAAATCCCCCTTCAGGGCTGAGAGAGAGCAGCTCCTCCACTGCTCCTTCCCCAGACACATCCCAGGCACAGGCAGCAGTGCCCAAAATCACAGAATTGATAATTAAGGTTGGAAAACCCCTCTGAGATCATCAAACCCACCATGAAATGATGTCCTGAATGTCCACCTACCCAAGCCTGTGGCACCTGCAGCTGGGTTGGATTTAA